AATTATAGAAAAAAAATTTTTTTCTTGTTATGAGAACTTTTAGATTTCATTCTCTTGGCAACTTTCAAGTATATACTACGATATTATTGACTATAGTCACCATGCTGTATATTACATCCTCATGACTCATTTACTTTATAATTGGAAATTTGTACCTCTTCACCCCTTCACCCATTTTGCCTACCCGCCAACTGCCCTCCCCTCTAACAACCACTGTTCTATTCTTCTCTATGACAGAAACATTTTTATTTAGAAAAAGTCTTATTTTCAAGGCTTGCTATAGACTTTGAAACTCAATGGCTTTTTCCTGGGTAGGATTTGTTCTCTCTTCTCCTAAAGCAGTGAGCCTTAAGGTTTAGCCATGGAGGCAAAAGACTGTACAGGAACATGACTCAGGGAGGAAATAAAACTATATTGGTTTACTATGTCGGATACATTATAACTATACTCATACGTCTCATAAATGCTAATTCACATAGCCCATTTCTGTTCCTCCTTCCCTTCTGACCTAATTGTAATAGAGTGATTACCTTACTTTACACTCTTGTCCTATTTTAGAATTCTAGACCTTTCTAGAGACCCAGCTCACCAGTATAAAGTTGACTGGTATTATGATATTTACAACAGGCGTGTGACAGGTCCAGGGACCAAGGCAAGTGACCCCATCAATATTCTCTTCCAGAGTGAGCCTTCATTCCATGGAGAGAACACCTGTTCTGCCCAGACCAGATCCTGTGAACTGACACTTAACAGCTCTGGTGGTACTCTGGTCATTGTCACTGCCGCTGCTGGTGATGATAAAGAGCTTTTTGTTGTTAAAGGCTTTATCCACTAAAAAATAGCTGGTTATTGATTACCTAAGCCCTCTGATTTCTGTAAGGTCAGGATTAATTTGTTGTATGGGGAAAGTCTTTTCTCCTTGTCTGGAATGTCCTTACCCCACTGTCTGCCTTGACAATTCCCACTCAGTTTTTAAAACCCAGCTGTAATGTTGCCGACTCTGTGTGGGCTTCTCTGAGTCATTCCCTGCACCCAGAAAGACTAAAGTTCTCTGTTATGCGCCATTGCTCTAGCTTGTAAGCACCCTTATTGTCACACCATTCATGGTGAGTCAGGAGTATTTGCCCCCACATCGCTCTGCCTTACAGAATTTTCTGTATTATTCACACCAGTCCACAGTCTGGCACACAGATGATCAATAAGTATTTGTTGACTGAGTGACCGGCTGAAAGAATAAGTGAGTGGGTCTCAAGTTCCAGTGCCCAAGGCCCCATAGGTAGTAAAAAGTAATGCTGGAATTCTACGGTGGCCTGGGACCCCCAGGTCCAGTTTGGCCTGCCACCACGCTGCCTTGAACTTTTGGACTTTCAGATTGAGGAAGCTTGTCGTCTACTTACAATAAATAGGAGTGAACTGTCATGAGCCTTCCAAATTTTTCCAGTCCTCTCTCTCCTCCCTGCCCCTGCTTTGGTGAAGAGTAGATGTCCCAGAATTGCCGCTGGAACTTAGTTTTTGGGTGAGTGTTAGCAAAAGAACACAATGAACTATCATCAGGTTGAGCCCTAAAGAGTCAAGAGCAGGAAAGAACTCTCCTTGAAGTCTTCTTTTAAGAATCGCTGGCATTGGGCGCCTGGGTGGCTCAGTCGTTAAGCGTCTGCCTTCGGCTCAGGTCATGATCCCGGGGTCCTGGGATCGAGCCCCGCGTCGGGGTCCCTGCTCCGCGGGAAGCCTGCTTCTCCCTCTCCCACTCCCCCTGCTTGTGTTCCTGCTCTCCCACTCCCCCCTGCTTGTGTTCCTGCTCTCACTATGTCTCTCTCTGTCAAATAAATAAATAAAATCTTAAAAAAAAAAAAAAAGAATCGCTGGCATTTCTCCTATGTTTATTGTGTGCTTGACATATTGGTAAGATTTTGCATACTCTCATTTAATCATAGCAACTACCCTTTGAGAGAAGCCTTCCTGGTATGGGGAACTGAGACTCCTGAGGTCATGCTACCTGCCCAAGGCCACGCTGGTTTTAGCAGTAGCCAAACTGGAACCCAAGCCTGCCCAGGCATGCCTGATGTCAAAGTCTACTCTCTCACGGTTATGGAGTCCACATGGACTATGCCAGCAAGGAAGAGGGAAGGGGAATGAATCAGGAATTGGTATTTATTAGGGTAATGGATACCCGTCAGGCTTTGTGGCCACCCAACATCTTTGAACACCTTTCCCGTATTTGGGTAATTTTCCACATGAAGAGTCCCGCCCTCCCAAAGGTGGAAACCAGACATTTGCACCAGTGCAAAAAGGGAAAATGCCACTCAATACACACACAAGGACGGACTGAATGAATAAGTGAACAGACCTCACAAAAATAGAAGCAGTTGCACGTTCACCGGTCCCTATTACCCACTGTATTCTGTTAAACTCATTAAACAAGGAGGTCAATAGAGAGGAGTGACTCTAACACCCTGGCAGCCAGCATAAGCAGACCAAAATCTAAACCTTAACCTTTACAAATGCCTCAGGTTATGAAATCAAAATACTAAAGATAGCCAATCATAAACAGCCAAGCAGGCTTTAAGCTATAGCCAATCACATAATTTCTACATTTCTCTATCAAGTTTTTCCCCTGGCCCCTGTGGGCAGAGTGCTCCTAACCACTTCCCATTTGGCACTGCCCAATTCAAATCGATTCTTGCTCAAGTAAACTCTTAAACATGTTTCATATACCTCAGTTTGTTTTTCAGCAGTTCTAAGGCATTTGCACGAAGATTAACAAGGCCAGACAGCAGAATCCCAGAGAGTGACCTTAATCTTGGGCCATGGGGCTTACGAGGTACATGATTAGAAAAGCACTGGCCCCTCTCATCAGGTAATTAGGGGTCAGTGTACCATAGTATTATGGCATGGTAGAAAACTGGCTCCAGCCCTACCCTCATCTTTCATGGCTTTGGGGAACATCAGGCCTTCCTCTGGTATAATGCGGAAGCTGGGGACCAAGGCTCACAGTTGTAGTTGTAGGATACGGTAAACTATTGCTTGAACCCCAGCAACCAAGCAGCATTCAAGACTGCAGAAGTACCAGCCTTCCCTGGGTATGATCAGAGTGCTAGCGCCTGAGCCTCGTGGTTGGCCAGAGTTGACTGCCTTAAGCCAATTGGGCTATAGCCAGTTTCCAGGAAGTTTCCAGGGGAGGAACTCATGGTGTAGAAGGCAACCTGCAGAGAGCATCAGTCTTAGACAAATTACCCCTTTCTCTCCCTTGCTTTCCCAGCCTCCCTTGCAGTAAGGGCACAGGTGTGTGATCCAGGCTCTGCTGGGCAGAGATTTGATTTCGAAGAGAGCAGGGTGAGCATACAGGAGCATGAAACACATTTCCTGCGGTGGCCAATAACAGAGACCTCTGTTTCTGGGAAATTCCAATTCTGGAATCGAGGGCCCAACATCAGCTTTGCTTGTTATGATATCTGTGCCTAGAGAAGGCTGCAAGAGGGCTGCCTCTGATACAAACTCATGGGTAGTTCGATATTGTTTCTGTCTGTGTGCCCTCCAGTGGATCCAGCCCTCCCAGAAATTCTCTGAGCTACCTAATGACCTGCAATAAATTCATCCTCTGCTTCAAAGAGCTGAAGCAGGTGCTATTGTTTACAACCCAGAAGTAGGGTGATCATTGATCTTCTATTTTGTGCCAGGCACTGTGCTCAGCACTGTCCCATGCTTCAGCCCACTGGATTCTGACACGCAACCTACAGGACAAATACAGTTTGAAGAGCTAAAGAAAAAGGGGATAAGGCTTGGGATGAGGTTGACAAGACTGACCCACCAGAGATCACGAGGGCTCCCGTCTGTCAGCTGTTGAGTTGGTGCCTTCTCCCGTAAGCATGCCATAATACACACCCCAAGTTGTAGGTAAGATGAACCCCACGTACCTGGCTGCAGATGTGGGGGTGGCAGCTTCCACAGACCCTTCCATGAGGTTCTTCTCTGCAATCCCATGCTGGCAGCCAGACGCACAAAGTGTTTTAGATTCTCCCACAAGCTCTGACTTACCGTGTGTATTAACAGTGCTTCTGAGAAAGTGCCTAGAGACTGTTCTCTGACCCAGGGACCCCCCCTCCCCCCCCACCCAGGCCTTCCTTTGCAACTCCCCACAGTCATGCAAGCTCTAATCCCTAACTAAAGTCATGATTTCCAAAATACACAGCTCCTCTTCCCCTGCCTGGACTGTAACTGATATGATCAGTACAATGAAAAGTGCGATGGGAAATACCGTGTACGGTAAAGATAAATCTCAAATGCATTTTGTTCAAAGCAAACTAGAATCATGGAAAAACCCTGAGCTTCAGGAATCATAAAGAGTCAGGTTATAATCTCAGCTTCGCCTCTTGTAGCTCTATAATGTTCAGTAAATTAATTACTAAACATCTCTGAGCCTCCATCGTCTCATTTCAAAATGGGCATGATATTTGCTTCATGGGCTTGGTGATGATTAAATAAGAACGTTTAAAAGTGTTGAGAACATAATAGATTCAAATCTCAGGCCCTTTCCATTTTGCGACCAATGTTTAGAAATCAAATATAATGAGGATGTGTGTTTATTGCCCATTGTAACTGAGAATTCTTGGGTTTTTTTTTAAAGATTTATTTATTTATTTGAAAGAGAAAGAGAGAGGGCACACATGAGTGGGGGGAGGGGCAGGGGAAGAAGGAGAAAGAGAATCTCAAGCTGACTCCAAGCCAAGTATGGAGCCCGACATGGGGCTCGATCTCATGACCCTGAGATCATGACCTGAGCTAAAGCCAAGAGTCGGACACTTGACCAACTGAGCCACACAGGCACCCCAAGAATTCTTGTTTTTAATAGTTATTTATAGGACTTGCAAGGTAAAAATGAGTACCTTTATAAAACCCAAAGTTTTAAATAATGTATATCAAAACAGAATTGTGATCACTCTAGATTTGCTCTCTCAAATTGGTTTTTAAAAGTAATCTTTTATTTTTTATTGATTTATTTTGTAAATACGGAATGCTTCACAAATTTGTGTGTCGTCCTCGTGCAGGGACCATCCTACTCTTCTCTGTATCATTCCAATTTTAGTGTACGTGCTGCCGAAGCAAGCACTGTACTATGCATCTTTTAATATACTTCAGAGAAAAGTGTAAGTTTTCACAGGCTATGGGTTTTTAAGTTTTCAGAAAGGAAAAATTTCATTTTTCACATTTATAAGTAGGAAAAAAATGTTAGACATAGCATATATTTGATCGATAACTCATTGTTGGTGGCACATTTAACAATAAAACACAAGAAGGGGAGCTAAGAGTTCATTGTACTCACATGGAGAGGCTCATTAGTAGCTTTGAAAACAGTTTCACCAAGGGCATGGTTCTCCCAGTCTACGACCCCAAGGATGACTTGGCTCTTTGGGTCTCAGTTTCCTCATCAGTTACTACAAAGGCGGCTTCCTGTGGAGTCTTCCAAGTTCTAGCATTCTGGAACCATGAATGTGAGCTCTGTTAGCGATAAATAACATTTACTCAGTTATTCCTCCTCCTCACCAAATGAGAAAAGCAGGTGATAATTAGATTCTTCCCAACCCTCGAATGTGATAATTTAAAAGAATAATAATAGCATGGTATGTGGAATAAGGCATTTTTATATCCAGTATATAATTTAATCCTCACAATCCCAGTAACACAAAATTATTCTTGTTCCCTTTTGCAGACCAGGAAATTGAGGCAGAGAAAAAGCTAAGTAACCCTCAAAATGGCACCCAGTTAGAAGGACAAAAGCTGAGGCAGTACTGATGAATGGTAAAGGATATTGGCTCTGGGAGTCAGACTGACCTGGGTTCAAATTCTGACTACCTTCTTTGTGGTTTAGGAGCCAATTACTTAGTTCCTTCAATCCTCCATTTTTGTTATCTGTTAAATGGTGATAACACCAGTTGTACTTCCCTCCAAGGATTAAATGAAATCATTTGTTTAGTGTTCAACAAGTGAGAACTATGCTAGAGATGATAATGATTTATATTACCTCCCAAAGTATTTCCTTTTAACAACACCCAGTATCTTAAGCAAACTGGCATTTCAAAACCCAAGCACTGTGCACTAATGTTGTTAGACAAATGTTAACCTCTTTCACCAATTAGGAAGACTAATGCGACACAACTTACTAAGCTGTTTCACATTTCATTTGTACTCAGAGACAAAGTCCAAAAAATTAGCTTGTTATGACAGATTGCTGCACATCATATTACAAACCTATTTCCCACTACTCATAGGAAGGGACTTGGCAATCCAGAAGGAATTTTTCAACATGCTAATTAATGCAGATAATGTATCTTCCCTGCAATCAAAAAGGTCAGAGGAATGTATTAGTTCCCTCTTTCATTGATTAAAAAATATTTGCATCCTCTTTTAACCTTCCCCTTATTTTACCCAAAAGAACTCACAATGACCACCCAGGAATTATTGGATAATCCTCCACCCCATTGCCTAATGGCGGGGAACATCTTGACGCCTTTGGGCTCAGCTGTGCTCATTAGGTACAGAAATGCCCTGAGAATACAGCGAACTTATTCAGATTTTTGTTTGTCGGCAGTTTGATGTAATAGTGTTTTATTTTTGGCCCCCAATTGCTCAGCAAAAAAAAAAAAAAAAAAAAAAAAACCTTGGTTAAGCTGCTGATTTCCTCTAAATCGCTGAGCACAGGGATTGTAGCTTGATAAAGTCATTTAGTTGCTAGATGTTTATATTCAGACCATGCCAATGGCTCTTGCTGGAGTTTTTCATGAGGAATATGATGATGTTTACTTCTTTATGGGGTTGAAATAACCATGAATTTACCAATACTACCTCGTAGGGGATTTTTAAAAATTTATTTCATCTTTAGGGCTTTGAAATATAAAATTTTATGTAGTGAAGAAGATGTCACAAAGTGAAAGTATGTATGCTTTCACTGAACAAAATTAGTTGCGACTTCCCCAAATATTCCTAAATTCTGAAACATTAATACATTGACCATTCAGGCTTGAGTGTGGCATCCTCAAGACATTTCCCAGGACATATTATCAAGGCCCATTTGAATAGAAAAATTCATAACTGTGGCATCAATACTAAAGTGAGTGAAGGAAGTAGGGGATGAGAGAATTTGTTAAGTATACCTCGTCTCCTTTTCCTGTTTTCTTTTTTTCTTTTCTCTCTCTTCTCCCAGCCCTGAAGGCAAAGGGATTAGCTGAGAGTGTAGACTGTGCTTATCTAAAATAAGAAAAAATGTTGAATTAGGAAAGCTGTTGATTTTCCATCCATCCATCCACCTGTCCATCCATCCATCCGTCCATGTATCTACTGAATATCTGTAAAAGGCCAGACAATGTGCTAGACATACAGAAACAAAATTGTGTTGTTCGTTAAGTCAGTTATTCATGTAATAAACATTACCAATTAGCCCATTTTTGATTCATGAAAACTGAAAACAAGTAATTATAACATATGAGATGCGTATATAAAAGTATTCAAGGGGCGCCTGGCTGGCTCAGTCAGTAAAGCTTGTGACTCTTGATCTTGGGGTTGTGAGTTCAAGCCCCACATTGAGCGTAGAGCTTACTTAAATAAAAAGGCATTCAAAATCCTGAGGGAGCAAGAAGCTGAGGAAATAACCAAGCCCTCACCTGTAGCATATGTGACAGAGGCTGAGTTTCAGGGGCACACAGGCTGCCACAGGATACATGGTAAAGCTGTCTCTGGAACCCTCAGTCGCTAAGGTACTCAGAGGCAGACCGTGGGATGACAGAAAGGCTGTGATCTCAAGAACCACACAGCCCTGGGTTTGCATCCCTATTGTGGCAGACTACGTTTCAGGTCTCCCTTACAGCTGTGCAAGGCTTTGGAGATTAAGTTCTAGTCAGTGTTGTGATAGATTGAATGTTTGTGTCTTCTCAATTCACATATTAAAATCCCAACCCACAATGTGTATTAGGAGGTGGGGCCTTTGGGAGGTGATTAGTTCAGCAAGGGTGAAGCCCTCCCGAATGGGATTAGGGCCCCTATAAAAGAGACCCCAGAGAGCTCCCTGCCTCTTCTGCTACATAAGGACACAGCTGTCTATGAACCAGGAAGAGGGCTCTCACCAGACATCAAATTTGCTGGCACCTTGATCATAGTCTTCCCAGTTCCCAGAACGGTGAGAAATAAACTTCCATTGTTTATAAGCCATCCTGTTTATGGTTAAGTTGCTAGAGCAGCCTGATGGACTAAGTCAGGTAGTGTAACTTCTAAGAACTGTCCTTAAGAGATTTCTCTCCCCCCTCTCTTTTTGCTTTCTGCCAACAGAAAGCTGATGCTAGAGCAACCATCTTAGACCATTAGATGGAAACATTGTGTGGAGGACAGAGAGCAACATGAGCCACAGAGTCGGATGGAGATGAAGCCACTGTACTAGCCCCATGTGGCCTGTGGGAGGAAAATAAAGCTGAGGTGTTTTAGTCACTACTGTCACTTGCATTGAACTTAATCCTAGGTGCTACCAACAATGAGACCTTAATTAAATACAACCTTCATGAAACCCTCTGAGACTCAGTTTCCTCATCTACAAAATGAGGATAATAATACCTATTTTTATAATTGTTGGAAGGACTGCATTAAAAGAGTAAATAAATTTAATTCACCTAGAATAATGCCTGGTATCCAAGTAGTATTTTTATAAATAGTAGCGATTATTTTATTAATGTTCTTTGTCTTTCCAAAGCTCATGCTCCACAAATCTCTAAAACTTGAACAGAATCAGAACTCCCATTCCCTGACAGTTGCATCAACTGTCATCAAGGTCAAGCACCAGATGAAATCCAGGATGTTTATTTGAGCAGTGGGGAATACTGGGGTAGGAGATGATGGGGAAGAAAGGCAGAGTTGGGAGAAATCAATAGTTCTTCTTTAGATATGTGAAGTTTGAGATGTTTATCAGACATCGAAGTGGAAACAGATGTAGAGTAAGCAACTGGATATATGATTCTAGAGCTTTTCAGAAAGGTACTGGAGCACCACAGATTTGAGATTTGTCAGCACCTAGATGGGATTCAAAGCTATGGGGTAGAATGAGATCACCTAAGAATGTGGATATCAAAACTAGAAGGCCAAGGGAAGAGCCTTCAGGCATTCTAATACTTAGAGGTCAGTAGAGAAGAAGTCACTAATGAGGAAAACCCAACCAGTATGCTGTCTCAGAAACCTAGAGACTCAATGTCTTATGGAAGAGGTTAATCAGCTGTATCAAATGCCACTGAGAGGTTCAGTGAGCAGAGGACAGAAAATTGCCTATTGGTATTGGTAAGAGATGGGTCGCTGGCAACTTGGATGTGGTAGGCAGCCTCTAAGATGGCCCCCTGTGAGTCTTTCCTCCTGGTATCCATGCTCTTGTGCAGTCCCCTCCCCTTGACCACAGACTGGACTTCCTGACCTTCATTCATTCATTCATTCATTTAAAGCAGCCTCCACTCCAGCCCAATGCAGGGCTTGAACACAGGGCTTGAACACAGGGCTTGCCCCTGACATCAAGACCTGAGCTGAGATTGAGTTGGATGCTTAACCGAGTGAGCCACCCAGGCACCCCTTTACTGACTTGCTTTTAATAGAATACAGCAGAAGTGATGTAACTTCTGAATCTAGGTTACAAAATGGCAGTGGCTTCCATCCTGCTATCTCTCTCTAGTGTTTGGCTTGGGTGCTGGCACAGGGTAAACAGACAGTTAGGCTTAAACTGAGTAGGGGTTTTTCAAGGGAATGATGAAAGAGGAAGAGAGGGGTGCGGGACTTAAAGAGGTTTGTAAGGGAGTAGTTATACTGGTGGTCTCTAGACTCTTAAGCTGCATGAGGACAGAAGTGAGAACATGAAGGGTGTGACGGAAAGAGAAGATGTAGTAGGACAAAGGATTAGAATAAGTACCTGGTGGAATACCAGAGTAACTGAGGAGAAAGGATAAGAGGTAATGGGTAGAGAGAAGAATGCTTCAAATAGACATTTTGAAACATGTTTTAGTGAGTGTAATGTCTACAGTACAACCTTAAGAGTCAGTGGCTCAGAGAGAGTGAAGGAAAATGTGGAAAGAAACTAAAGGTATAGAATGA